TCTATTTTGTGCTAGTGCAAAATGATAAATGTACCAAACAAAGGACATGATTTCATCTACCTCGTGTGAAGATGTGCCAACGGGTGGGGGCGGCGGGATGAGCCTGTGAGGAATGGAACCACGAAGAAGGGTCCGCCGGCCACCGGACGTTGTTGGGTGCCGGCTGGTTTTGCTGCTTTCCACTCTGCGCGGCAGGGCCGCTGTGCTGGTGGATGGATGAGCATCCAGCGGGCAGGGTTCTCCGGCCCTGCCTCGGTTCTCCTTCCCTCGCAGTTCCAGGCACTTGTGGGCTTGACCAAAGAAATGCTCTTCCTTCCCCCACCCCTGAGCCACGGAGTATTAAGAGTTTGTGACCTCGTGGGAGGTGGGTGACGTGACCCCAGGTGCTAAGGACGGGGGACGGTGGCCAGGTCATCACCGGGACCTCCGACTGCAGGAGACCCCCCCCTTGGGCAGAGATGCCTTCTGGAAGAGGGTCTTCGAGGCAACCTCCTGTCCTCCCGCGGGCAGAACCAGGGAGATCTTGTACCAAAGATTAAACCCAGCGGGCGCTTGGATTTCACGTTGGAGGAAGAAGAAAGAGCACCCAAAGAAGGGGAAAAAAAGGAAGCGGTCGACGATCTCATTTTCTGTCTCTCTGTTTCTCATTCTCTCTTTCTGTCCTGCTGCTGCTTTTACTGTGCCGGTCTGATGATGCTAGGTTTTGTTTTTAATTTTCCTTTTCACCTTGTGTAGAGATGATCCTTTTTCCCACCTGCTTTTGTTCCTGCTTGGTTTGTTTTCTCTCTCTCTCTCTCCGCCTTTCTTGTATGTTTTGGAGTCAATCCAGTGCACTGAGCGGGAGCTGGATTGTGGCGCTCAGGGGAATGAATGCAAGGATCAATGAGATAAAAACAATAAAAGTGGACATAATTTTAAAAGATGAATTGAACGAGGGAGACTTTTTCCTTTCCTGTCAGTGGCCAAAACAAAGCAAAAATTAAAAAAAATAACGAAGAAGACAAACTCGTAGCATCTTAAAGACTAAAGGCTATATCGTGACCATTCATGGATCAGGTCCCCTTCCTCCGTTCGGTTTTCCCCTTTTAGCTCTTTCTGACAGAGATGGGATGTTTTGTGCTTTTCGGCCACACCTGACTGATTTGGGGCTGGCTTTACCTTCTGTGTCAACCAAACACCTTCCCTGGGTGTGAGGTCTCTCTAGAGTTTTCTGTTGAAATTCTACACGATGGCCAGAAATGGGTGGTTGGATGATGCTTCGCCTCGGTTAAATTGCACTCTTCGCTGCTGTGAATTGCTGCTGACTCAGAAGGCGCAAGAGGCACATGGCTGGGTGTACATCACAGTGATGTACACATTTTCACTCAGCAGGATCCTGGCCAATAACGAATCAAAGAATATTGTCTGTTGAGCTCCTTCTATCTGACCACTAGGCCTTGTGATCCTGTTCCAGAGCCTGTCAAGAACGGTATAGAGGTGGACAACAATGGGGGCAGAACTTCAAAACACACAAAAACAGGAACTGCCCCTGGCAGAAAAATACAGTGTTAAAACTACTAAAGCCCCCTTTTTTAAAAAAAGCTAGGAGACAAATTTGTGCTTCCTTGAAGGGGGTTTGAAAGCCTTGGGGCCACTGTGGGAAAGGCCCCGATCCCAGCAACCTCTTGTTGCACCCTCAAATGATGTGGGAGCAAAAAGCAAAATCTTTGGAGCAGTTCCCACCGGATGAGGCAGTCGGTGTATGTTGTGGGGGGACAGGCGGAATAGCCCTTTGAGCAGCTTGCAGGATTGGGAAATTCAGGGGTACAAACAGTCATTTGACGTCTGGGTCCAGAAGCCAACTGGGAGCCAGAGTAGCAGCTTTGAAACTAGTCTCGCATCTTCTCTGAAGCCCAGTGTTCCTGGGTAGGAAGTTGTGCAGTGGCTGCCCAACCCAACCCAACCCATTCCCTCCATCTTAGGATTCTTGTGTAGCTTCCTTCTGTAAGGAGTTTTCTCGAACTCCTGTCCTAGTAAGGTTAGCACACCGTTAGGGGGGTCGATGCCTCGCCTTGCCCAAGGGCAGCTTTTACTGCCAGGTGCCAACGAGGTGGCTGCCCGAGGACAGAAGGGTCAAAGAGGTCTCAAAAGATTGGCAACTGGTTCACTGTCGTACTTCGGCCAGGATTGGGCAGCTTGTGAGGTCTACTGCCCTGGGTGCCAAAATGATCGGGCATGATACAAAGTGCCGTGGCCATGGTGAATGGGGGGCCGTGCCCGTGGGTAGGCTGCCTGAAGAATGGAGGGAGTTGCAATAGAAATGCAGCGTTTCTCGGTTTTGCTTTTGGCCGGGAGGATCAGGACTCAAAGAAGAAGGACCAGCGGGCCTTTGAAAAAGAGCAGGAGATTAGTTCAGTCCCTCTCATCCTGCAGGAGATTGGAGATGGGCATCGTTTGCTTCAAGCTGGGGGAGATTGATGTCCCTCCCCCCTCCATCCCTCTTCCTGTTGTAGAGTTTTAAAATTTTCGGTTAAAAACCTCCTTTTGATAACCGCAGAAGCACCAATACAAAGGAGAATAGCTTCAGGTTGCTTAGCTAGTTCCCCCCCCCCCCTCTCCCATTGGCAGTCTCAATCATTCGCTCTGAGACATCGGTAGCAGAAAGTATTACAAAAAGGTTCATTACCTACAACTGGGAACAGCAAAAACTAAATGCAAAATACTTCCCATCTCCAGAATAGAGGCAGGTCAGGGGTTGAGGGTCAGTGATCAAGACGGCACTTCTAGGACTTGCCTGTATCCCACAGACAATTTCCCCACCCAACCACATATTTGGAGCACTTGACTATCATGCAGTTAAAGGGGCCTCTGGCCATTCAAGCATGGGGAAGGGATGGGGGCAAATGGATCACACTTTGATTGAAACATTCTTTTTCGCCTAGGATAGATTGGGGAGGCAACTAACAGAGTTCACCTACTTCTGCACTTCTGGCCAGCCACTCTATGCGCCAGTTGCTAGATGTAGAATGACAACCCCGTTTCCAGATTATGCAAACAGTCTTCAAGGGGAGCCCCATGGAGGCAGCCAAAGAGAGCTGTTGAAACCTCTCCCTTTCCACTGCAGGACGGATATTGTCCTCTTGAGATAACAAAGGCTGGTGTCTGTGGACCACAAATGGCCTTGGGGATGGCAGGACCAGGAGTTTTGTCTAGGCCATCATCCTACCTCCCAAGGGGGTGCTTCTGGGAAGACTCCAGCAGGCTAAGAGTCCTTGTCTTCTTCCCCACATGCCTCAACTGTTCCTCTGAAGTGAAATATCTCTCAATGTGGGGGTTCAATGAAGAGGTCAGTCGTAATACATCACGTCAACATACTCCCTCTGTTTATGTGTATGCCGCTCAGCAGGCAGATACATGATTTTTTAATAATTGATCTGTACAGTCTTGAATAAAGTATAAATTGAGTAAATAGCCTCATGCAGCAGCTAAATGCCAAACAGAGTAAATAAAGCCTCACGCAGAACAAGGCTATTCCACAGAAAAGGCCAATCAGATTTTATTTCGGAGATACAAGACGGTGGGAGACCCTCCACGGTTAGCTGCAAATGCTGGTTGGCAGCGTATGGCTGAAATCTCCTGTGCTCTCGCCCCTGGCATTACTTGTCCCCTATCCACTAACAACTCTTCCAGCCTTCTT